CTGGCTGCATTCATAAAGTATTTAGACTTTCAAATCATCCAACCTGCATCCATTAGAAATTATCACTGCAAAACTGCATGTATGCCTATTCCCCCTGCATTTTGCATGTGTAAAACCAGAGACCATGGTTTGAAAAATCTGACCTTTAATAAGTAAACAGAAACTGAGCTGACAGATTGCATTAAATACATTTGGAAAGGAAGATATGTAAAAAATAACAGAGCCTCTGAAAAAAAATATTTGGATTTTCAAAAATCACATTTTAAAAAGCCAGTAAAAATAACATCTATGACTACATATTCCCTTACACTACCATGCCATGAAAAACATACCATATGAATCAAACTCTTCTAGCAGCTCTACTGTGGATACAAAGTGTTCCAAATCCTCCTCCAAATGCCTTCAGCCATTCCTCAAATCCTCACTCTTTACTTCCAATATTTTGTACTTCCACAAGAGAATTTCTTCTGAACTATCTCATTCTTTTGGTTAATTCTTGTAATCTGTATTTAAATTTAAAGCTGACATGTGAGTATTCATCCTTAAGAGCTCAAGCTTTCATTGGCAACAAGCCCTTTTTAATTCCTACTGCAGGAATTTTGCATCTTGCAGGACTGGACTCCGACTTTGCATGACTTTGCAGTACTGAAAAAAACCCCAAACCTTGAACTCTAAAGCACAGAGTTCTTAGCACTTGAAGTGTTGTTTCTTTTAAATTAATAATTTTAACTAACTGTTGAAATATAGTAATGTGTTCACTATTTTTAAGTCCAGGGTTTTAGTAACACTACTGATATTAAAACTGAGGTCTCATTACACAGCTAGCTTGTATGATAAACAACCCTGCAGTTCCCAAGTTTGGTCCAAAGGCCATGTGAAATCTATGAGCCACTCAACTTTAACAGCTGCTCCAACAAGAAAAATGTAGCAGCAGCCTCAGGTAGTCTTACTTATTAAATTTAAAGAGCTGGTTTTGGAAAAAATTGCACCAAATGTCATCCACTTCAATAAAAGATACACAGGATTACAAGAGGAGCCAAAAATACCTTTCTCAAAATGCCAAGAATATTTTTCCATTTTAGTACACATTTATCTTTTATTTTTTATTTATTATTACTTTATTCTACTTTTTTTTCTAAATGTTGATGATAACTTAGAGCAGCTTTTCATCCACAGAAATTATAGGAACTCTTCCTTGCCCACCTGCTTTGAATTAAATGTATTTCTAGATACAAACCATAGCCCCCTGCACTTGTAGTTTTTACCGTTCACTTGTGCAAAAGGTATCACAATGAGAGCAGTGCTAAGGCATAAAACTTTTCCTGCCCTTCATGAGGGACAGCAGGTAAAGGAGCGCACTGCTGTGCAGGCTGTAGAAAAGCTGTGCAAAACACCCCTGTGTACCATGGAGCTTCTCCCTCACAGAAGGGGGTGAGGAGTGATTTGCAGCCCACAGCTAAGCCTGCTAAGTCAGTGACATCTCTGCAATGAACAGGGCTCTGACTTAACATCCTTAGAGAAGAGCTGCTAGCCCAAAACTACAGAGATTTCACTGGCCAAAAAAATCTCTCATCAGAGCAACCAAGAAAGAAATCAAATGTGCAGAAGCCCTTACTACAATTTGTGGGTTCTTCTGACTCTTCATAGAATTTGATCCTAAAAAGCATTTTCCACCTAGCCCACAAAACACAGTCAAATCTGTCTCTTGACAGTATATAGCACCTTTATTTATCCCTGAGAGCTCTAACATCCCTAGAGACCATCATCTTTGCCATTTACTGCAAGAATGTCTTCATACAACTTTCCTTAATAAAAAGTCAGCTCAAATCTTGCATAATAATCTGGTTTCATCCCCATAAAAAAAAGAAGCACATTTGGCAAAATGGACACGCTTATAGTGGAATTTTAAGCTTTTGACAAATAAATCCACCTCCAACTCACACTGGGACTGGATTTGGACAGTGGACATTCTCATAATGTCCAACACTTCATGAAGCACTCAGCACAACTATGAGTAAAAAAGCATCCCTTTTCCAGACTCAGAACAAAGTGCTAAAAACTGGATTATCTTTTAAAAGTTAACTGAAAATCTAAGCAATGGGTTTAAAATTTATTTTGTTACAGGAAGTTGTGAAGTTTAATTTCATTTGGTATCTTTAGAAGATAAACTACTCATTTTCAGTGCTCACTTGGAGCCATATGGTAACATAGAAAAGCAATCTTGCTATCTTCAGTAGGAAAACTCACATTAAGTCAAGTCCGTTAAGGTCAAGTCTATTAATGCAAAAATGGACTCCTGATGGACAGAACTGAAAGCTGAATTGGAGGAGGTAGCAGTGTTATGCTTAAAAAAATAAATCAAGACTTTATTTACCAGATTAGAGAGCAACCACCTCCTAAAGTGAACACAACTTCTTCCAGCAAAACAGAAAAGAAAGGAAATAGACATACATTTCTTCACCCACCTCAGATAATCCTGTAAATTTCAGATTAAATTGCTTGTTTTAACTGCTCCTTTTAATGCCTCCCAGCTGATGTTCTGTCTCAGTAACTGTTGAACAGCTGAAAATCGTTGCTTGAAGTTGTGGTTATATACAATTTCATTAAAAGCTACATGAATCAGGTTATGAAGACCACAGTCCAAAGCTTAGAAATGGAAATGGTACAAACAACATTTTAGAGTATAGCTTCCCATTCAAAAATATTTCTGAAAACAGAAGTGAACTGTGGCAAAAAGTAGCAATGTTTTTAAAACACAGCATGATACAAATCACTAAGCATGTTTGTTTCTTTCAATGCTTCTGTTAACACAGGTCGAATTGGTTTGTTTGCAAGATTTATATGTTAAGAATCAGTCTTCAGTAACTGGTTTCCTCTGGACTTCTAGTTTAGCATTTGGCAGTTAATACTTCCTAGGCATCTTATAGTTACAAGAACATTTTTTTCCCCCCATCTGAAATATTCAATCTTACTTTTGCTGAGAGTAGAACACTTCAGACTGCCTGAAAGCAGACCAAATGCACTAGATTAATACAGTGTACTTTAAAGTAATACATTTTGTATAGAATGACATATCAGCACGACATAATTTCGACCACATGTTTTTCCTTGTGGAAGTGGCTTATTACAGAGGAAATTGAGACAACCTATTTATTATTCTTAATCAATGTTTTGGGAGACAATTAGTGTTTTGAAGGGGTGATAATCATTCATAATAGTTTCCAAACCCTTGTTACAGCTCAGAAACATAACATAATTTCACCGTGATAAAAATTACTTTCAGTCTTATTTCATTTCGCTAAGCAGGTGTCAAGGGAAATGGACATTTAAACACGCCTGCAGCCTGTTCTATCACAGGGGTTTTTTGAAATTAAACCAGATATCTATAAACTAATAGCTCACTTTTGAATAGGGATTTTCAACTCAGCATCTCAAAACACTTGAAAAGGCAGGTAAAACCACACTGTCCCCATCTGAAAACCACAGACAGAGGATTATTTAGGGGTACTGTCAGTAGACCAGACCCGTGGGACAAAACAGAAATTACCAAAGGTACGACTCATCTTCAGGTCCATGCCACAGCCATTGACTCAGCCACCTACACAGCTACCAAAATACCCACATCTCCAGTGTTACTTCTAAGAGCTCTTACATTCTGCAGGTGTTCTCAAAGGGCTTCTGTGGATATTCTTCATTGCGACGCTGCACAGCATTAGCAAAATCTGTTCTAGTACTGACAAAGTAATCTGTAGGATTCTACAGAAACTTCCAGCACTTTAAAGGCTTTCTTGACTGGGAAAAAAAAACAGTTTTAATGGTCATCTTTGCACTGTGTAAACCAGCAATCACAGCTGCCACACCTCCTCCATTATGTTTCACATGATCGTTTCCACTTCGCCACTATGCACCTTCTCATTCCAATTTTGGTTCTCTCACTTCATCAACTTAAAAGGCTCTTCCTAAAATAATAGGTTAGTAATGGTATATTACCATATGAAACAATGCATGATTATAGTTTCTATGTTTAACTACATAAATAACAGAGCAAAAAAAGTGCTTAAAACATTTGCATCCACTTTGATTTCAGCCAGTAAAATCAAACTGTCCTCTAAATATATGAATAATACTGAATATGTACTTTATCTCATCCATTTCTTTACAATAACCTTGTAGATAATTAGAGTATTTTTCCCCTGCTTGTTGCAGGTAAACATGCCTCTGCTCAAACGGAAGTTATCAACAGTTAGCATCATCTTTCACTTGTTAGTTCTATTACACAGCACTACAACTAACTACCAATAGCTTCCCCTAATACTTCCTGCATTATTTTTGAAAAGTTAGTTCAAACATTGTCAGTCTTCTCTGAAAATATGCTGTTTAAAAAGTTTTGGGGTGTGATGGTTTGTTTTTTTTAATTAAAAAAATGCGGAATATAAAAATAACTGTCCTTAAAGCAACAGCTTAAAATATCTAAGAGCTGCTAATTTTGCTGAGTAAACCAGAAGAAACCAAAAGTTAATTTTAAAAAATATAGAAGTATCGTTCTAAATATAAAATTGAAAACAGAATGAAACTGCATAAGACCTTAACATTCCCAAGGAGCAGGTTTATCACCCCACGTGCATCTACAGATTTTAGCTTTCGCACAGTTAACAATTATGTTTTAAAACATAATGTTAGGAAAATTGTGCCATGTACTTCCATTCCATAAGATACTTATTTTGCCCAGAGTAACACCACTCTGCAAGTACTACAGACCAGTACAAGTAAAATCATTCCCTAATATGACTGCAGCTGAGCATGGGAAGAACTTAGTCCAGTGAAGTTGCTGCTTTGCAGGGACTGTTACATTGACTTGCATTTAACAGTCACATACCAGCCCTAAAAGGTAACTGTGTGATTCATCATACAAAGAAAACACCAGTGAGAGCAGGTCTGCCTGGACAACTGTGATTTTCTTTCTGTAAACTCTTCCAGTGTCCCTTACAAAGTGACAGGTTTTATATAAGTCTAGAACTTTTGAGAAACTGAATGAGAACTCCATAGACGAAAGTGTACTGCGATAGAGTCTGCACCATCATCATTCTCTGTTGCCTCAACATGTCCAGCACCCGTGGGATGTCCAGCATCTGGAGGAAGAGAACAAACCATTTCAAGTGGCTGGTGAGCAAGGAGACTGGCTTGCACTTTCTCAGCAGGAGGTTCAGAGCAATACCAGTGATCTAAGGGCAGAATCGGCTGCTCTAATTTTCAGCTCTGACAATTCATTGCCCATGCCTGCAATAGGGACTGTACTACACCACTGACCATGCCTACCTTCTCATCTGTGAAATTTGCATAATGTTAAACTTGACTGTCTCATGGGGTATGGGTTCACAAATCTAATGGCTGCAGAAGTCTACCACAGTGTTTGGACAGGAATGCATAACGAAACAATTTGCTGAGTCTCAGCTGGCATATTATATTATTAATAACAACTTCACAGTTGTTCACTTCTGGCTAAAAGCTGATAGGACTAGGTTTTATTCTATTAAAATACCACTTTGTCCTTGGCCGAGACTGATACTGCAAATACATTTAGGGACAAAATGTTTAATAACAAGCACAGAGACTGGCTACAGAGAATGTTCTTGAATATTATCCATTAAAACTAAGGCATGAAGTAAAAGTGGTAAAGTCAGGGCGAATCCTGAAACATGCTTAGTAGCCTGGTTCCACTAGTACCTTGTTCCACTCAGTGACTCAACATCTTATGGAGTCAAGAATCCAAATGAGCATTCCCATACCCAGTGTGTAAGTGGGCAACTCTAGAAGATTAACTTCTGTTGAATGGCCAAGAGCTCTTTCAACCACAGTTGCAAGGGCTCTTCCAAAGGCTGCATCCTGGGAAAGCTCAAATGACAGCCATTAAAATATTTATTAGGCAGGTTGTTTACTCTTCCACTACCTAACATTATTTAAAGCACGAGAAAGAGAGAGAGATCACCTCATTGTGTTCCAAGCAAGCGATCATGATCTCTGACAGTATGACCACTCCTGTCCGTCCTACACCTGCACTGCAATGTACCAGTACAGGAGGATTAGAGTTTTTAGGATCCGCAGTGCTGTTCGTGTGGCGCCGCACTGACTGTATCTCTTCCAAGTATGCTATTAAGTTCAACAAGATAAGAATAATAAATTTAGGAGACGAAGCCCCACAACACATGCTATTACGCTACATGACCACCAGAAAAGCAGTAATTTAACAAATGACATCGCACAGAAAAATGACGCACTGTATAAATCACAAGTCATATCCCAACCAAAGCAATACAGATCTATAAAGATCATCTAACATTTGTAAGGCTTTCCTTGCCTTGTTCCCTTATTCCCCACCAAAGGTGGCTTGTGGCCATCTTACTACCGCTGCAACATACTCAAATGTGTAGTATGTGATGCAATTATGTTTTAATCTATATGAACTTTTTGTAAGTTATATATTTGGCTTTTGACATAAACAGTCACTTTAACAAACTGGCAGGTATATTCCTGCCAAAAATTTAATTCAGTATCTCTTGCTGGTGTGAAGAAACCTTTTACAGCAGAATGCTTGGCATACTTATCAAAAGCTAATTCACGTATAGCAGACATTTTAGGAGGTATTTAAAAAAAAAAAAAACCAAACCTCCACAACCCCAAAACAAAACTATTCAATACAACTTACAGAGAAATCCCTTTAAATCCTCTGGACAGCCATGCTCTGGCCAGTCAGTATACTGCAGATGCCAAACTGTTCTCTCCTGTCCTGTGAGAAGATGTTTAATCTTCAAACCTGTAGTTGCATAGCAGCCTGAGTCAGTACGGAATCGTGTGGTAATCTTAAATCTTCCATATGTTACAGTGTTGTGTCTTGAACCAAGACGCGGCCAGTATCTGAAGCTTTTTTCTCGCCCACTTTCCTTAAAAGTAAAACAATTGCTTAACAAGAAACATAAGAACACTCATATAACTAATGCTCCTGTAACAACTGTATCTCTTCTCTATTAAGTACTACTACTACAGTGTTATGGTTTCTCACTAAGTAAATCAACTTTTTGAGGGGAAAGATTTTGCGAATTTACATCTTTCTGCCAAGGAAAACAAGACAGAATGGCAAAGGGGTGACTAGAAATCTATCTTTGATTGGTTGTCTTGTTGGAGCAAAGATCCTCTTCCTCTAACAGATCATAAAAAAATCTTTGCGGAATTTCTGGGAGAAACCTGACTCAGTTTATACTCACTTCCTCTGCTGTCACCATGGCTATGATGGCAATCCCTTGTTCCCAGATCATCTGCCAGAAATCCTGACATGTATTCTGCAAAGGGCCCTGCGTAGCAATGTAATCCCATTCTATGCCGCCAACAGAGATCTGTAAAAAAGACAGACATTATATTAGTGATTATTGAAAATTCTCTTTCCCCAATTCTTAAGTCAGCCATTTGAAGATGCACAAACTGAAAAAAGACAGCAACACTGCAGAAGCAGGAGCCTATTGTGAGTTATATCTGCTTCCCATTTTTTAGCTGCATCTTGTCACATTAGATGCAGAAGAGACACAACACTTAAAATTGTATAGGCACGTAGCTAAATAAATGTATTTTACATCGTAAACATAATGTAAAGGTCAGTAAATAAAATTGTATTTCTCTTTTGTGAATTTAAGGTATTCTACCCATTCAGGTTTACAGAAGTGTTCATACCCTGGTGCTATAAATGCTATCATATGCACTAAAAAGTCAGAATTAGCTTATGTTCCCTCAGAAAATATTATCTTGCCTGAGAAAGGTCAGAAGTGTTACTCAACATTTGTGAATGAGCTGAAGTACAGAAACTTCAGGTTTCTGGTACCATGTCAATGTACAAACAGGTTTATGAAAAAAAGACTGCAACACAACTACAACTGCTGCTTTGACGATCTCAGTTCTTTTCAGAGAAAGCATGAAGCCAACTGTAGTTGCACTTTAAGTAGGTAAATGCATTGCAAATGAATGAACTGCCCTGAAGGTTCTTGAAGTCACCCTGCAACTTCTTCACTTTTTTCAACAGTTTAAAGAGCTAAGGCTGGGGAAAATATCTTAAGGGCGGAAGTCACGAGGATGGAAGCAGTCTGTTTGCAGTGGTGTCCAGCGACAGGACTAGGGGCAATGGGTGCAAACTGAAACATAAGAGGTTTCAGTTGAATATGAGGAAAAACTTCTTTACTCTAAGGGTGACAGAGCACTGGAACAGGCTGCCCAGGGAGGTTGTGGAGTCTCCTTCTCTGGAGATATTCAAGGCCCGCCTGGATGAAGTCCTGTGTAGAATGCTCTAGGAGAGCCTGCTTTAGCAGGGGGGTTGGACTAGATGATCTCCCGAGGTCCCTTCCAACCCTTGTGATTCTGTGATTCTGTGAAAAGGCACAACTGAAGATTATGAAAGAGCAGATTTCCCCCTGGCCCTATCTGTTCCTCTAACCATCAAAAAAAGCTTACACTGGGAGCTAGCTTACTGCCTGTTGTGAATCTAGTCTGACAGTACAGAAGAAGAAAAAATAATAAGGATTGTCACTGCAGTTCAAAAAATATCATAATCATTGTAAAGGATCCCTGTTTGTTACAAAGCTATTTGCCACCTTAACTCTGGAAAGAATGGACATGCCTTCTGTTAGCACCAATCCAAGAAAGGCAAGACAGAGACAGAAAGGAGATAGTAGATCAATACAGAAGCAAAATGCAGTAGACCTCTCCAATAATTAACCCTCCATTATTCTGGGCAATGAGGAAAACCAGGTTTTTTTTCTCATCTGAAAAAACCAAAATTGATAGCCAAATCCATTTTTAGTTACCACATGAAGCAGAAAAATATTTCTTCAACAGTATTTTTCTCACCTTAATATGAGATGCATTGATGTAACCCGTGTTATTTTCTTTGGTTGGGACTAGCTCTACTCTGGTATCATCATAAGGAAGGACATCCTGGAACCGGTTTCTTTCAGCATTTTCAGGAAGCCGAGCTATTGAGCACTCACCATCAATAAGTCTTTTTTTCTGAATGCGCTCATATTCAGTAAACACCATCCCCTGCTCTAACCGTTGTTCCAGAACTTTACACTGAAAGACAGAACAAAATAGAACCATGCAAAGTCATGTTCTAAGGTGAGTCTATTTTAACAGAGAATTCACAAAGGATAAAATGTATGTGTTTTCCTCTCCTACGTACTTTTCCAATGCTTTTCCAGCTATTAATATTTTCGCAAACATACCAGAATAAATTAGAAGCAACCCTAACTAGTAGGGATTTTGTTCAAGTGAAAACTAAGAAGCCTGTTATAATTCATTAGGTCACAAAGACTGTGGATACCAGTGGTGGAAGAAAAATTACTTCATAGTTTCTATAAAGACAACCCCGTTGGGCAAAGAAATATTTGGCCAAAGCAGACAGCTATGCTATACTACAACCCGCCTCAAATACCTTTGAGCAAGGAATACTCATTAATCCTCCTGCTCAATATAGCATCATTTGAAAAGGTCTCCTTTAACCTTGTAATCTAAAAAGAACCTGTCAACTTTGTCATTTGGATGCAGAAAAACTCTAAAAATGTAAAACAGAACACTTGCCTCCATCAATGAGCAAATAATTCACTACCAACATTCCATACTTTCTTAGGCTGAAGACACTAAACTCTGCATACAGCAGCAAAGCCGCCTCAGAACCTGTTGCTGCAGCTGAGGTATAAATCTAGGATTTTTTCTACTAGTATAATTCAATCTGTTCTGTTTATTAAGCTGCTCCCTTCTCCCCCACCCCCTGATTTATTCTTTCAAAACCAAGTTCTTTCTAAATCATAAGACACTTCTGGAATTTCAACATCTCTTTGCCAACAATAATTAGAGGAATAATATGTAAGATTTCAGCCAGAAAATTTCATCTATGTCACATGTCCCCAGCCTCTCACAGCAACTGCTCTGCAGTATCAGGTCAGAAAAGTGTCTTGTATCAAATAACCTTAACGCCAAATGTTGCAGAGGAAGGTGTAAAACCTCAATCATATGCAATTTGCACATCAATACATGAACTGTACAAACTCCTTTATTATCTTAAGGCTAAATTTCCTCATTTAAACTGATAATAACATGAAGCTGAGCAATGAAACAGGCATTGAATCAACTTTAAAGTCATCTTCTAAAATATCTGCAGTCTGGACTTCCTTTCATGTCACATGTCTGCTTTGCATTGCCTCTTCTCAACTGTTTTGGGAATTACTCCCATTTCTTGGTATCATGTAATAGCATGGCTGAATTCAATACAGGTTAATCCAGGAAGAGACAATGGCTGTAAGTAAGAGGAAATAACTAACACAGATACTAAATGTAGAACTGCATCTCAATAACACAATATTAATTTTTGTCTCTAGGCATCTTTAAGGAGCATATGTATAGTTCAAAAAGAACTTCAGCTGTGTTGAAATGGAACAGCCAAATCTCCCTCCTATGGATCTCACTCTAAGCCTTCAAACTCCAAAACTGAATTTCTACTGCATGACTTGCAAATAATTTTCTTGGCCTATTCCTTAAAACTGCAGCTGGTGAGAGCAGGACTGTTACTTCAGGTTCTAATCCCTGCCCAGTGACTGTCAACAAATTGAGCTAGAGAAGGTCTGCAGCTGAGGATGCCCAACCGTGCTCAGAACCGGATTCTAAAGAGACTACTGGTCTCAGAATGTACAATAATCACCATAGACCTTGGTGTATCTAGTTGCTCCCTGGCTAGATGTGCAATGACAGCACTGTTTACATAGGCCCTCACAGGCTGGATATTGACTGTATTTCACTTTCCTGCGCCTATTTAATGATACACGAGGCAGGCTGAAGTATAGTTACTGATGTTGTTTACCCTGACACAAGCAGATGAGAGTCTTGTATTTCTCAAAGAATAATCCTCATATTCTAGAACCTGATGTCCCCTCAGTGATCTGAGAACTTTTACTGAATTAAAATTTTCCACAGATCGCACAAGTTCCATTTATATTTTCAGGGATCCACCTGAGGAAAACAGATAAGTAAAATCTGCACAAGCTGTACCCTGGGGATGCAATTTAACTACAAAATTTATTGTAAAAATTGTATGAATTACTAATAATTACAACTGAGTTCAATCTCACACTCAGAATTTTAATTTTCATATGTTTTCAGTCCAGAAACCCCCAAATTAAGAGAGAAAACAGAAAGACTTGGCAAAAAATGTATCCATAGAGCCTAAATAATTTGCTACCTATATGTTCAAAGGGTAATCTATAATCTGAATCACTGTCATCTTAAAGAAAAATCTGAGTTACACCCAGTATTTCTAACAATAATTATCAATCAGAAGTCTCATTCTTCATTTTGTTTCTATTATCAGTATTTGAGTTGCTTTGAATCTGAAGCATTTTAAAGTCAACACAAAGCACCATTCATATGCATTTCATTTTGAAAAATCACTAGTGTAGAAGAGAAATCAAGCGTTAAAAAAGTTCAACATACCCGTTCATCATTTGTTGCTCTTGTTGATTCTTCCCTCCCCTCATCTGGCAGAGGCATTCTAGTCAAAGCTAGTCCATTTAGGGCAGCTAGCTTTAGAGGCCCTATTTTTTTTGCATCATTTTTATTCTTTTTCATACCCTGCGGAAGAAAAGCTAAAACTTGTAAATATTGTTAAATATCTGGTGAAATTATAAAGCAGAAACCAGATGAGTTCAATTAAGCAAAGGATACTTCTTTGACCCCTTCTGCAAACAGCTCTGACCTTTTTTTTTCCCCGGTAAGCACGGAACTGAGAGATTAGGGTGGTGGGACTACATTCCTCCAAGGACACAACACAAGTCTGTCTTCATTCCAGACAGGTTAATGAAACTGCATGAGAATGACAAATATTGTTCCCTACAAAGCTCACCACTGAGGGTGTGAGGTGACAACTCTGGATAATTAACATTCTTGGACTGAACTGAAGTCACTTTCCAACCCCAAAACCACATAAAAATGATTCCTTTCTAGACATTTCAGTTTGCAGGCACTTTTCTTCCCCACAAGTGGGCATACCGATGAGCATATACATTTAAGGTATTTGGATATAGTTAAACGTTTGACAAAATTTGCAGAAAACTGCACATACAAAACATGAACACAGAACTGTAGACAGATCTGAGCCCTGAACCAGGCCATGAATCTAAATTATTGAAGTTACCATTCATTATTTGAGAAAAATTCCGAAGGGGGATTTTTATGAAAGAATAAATTCAAATGATTCTTTTGAAAAGCGTAAGAGAAAACTTCATCACTCCTGCAATTGCTAAGTTTGGTTGTTAACAAAAATACATTGAAAATGTGAGTGTATATGCTGCTTGAATGATAATCAATGCTTTCAAAAGCTAAATGGTAGTAAGGAATAAGAAGACAAAGCTAAGAGGATGAGACCACATTTAAAAGTGAAGTGAACACAAACACAACAGTTAAGAGTTCATTGGAAAGGAAAATGTGCAAACATTGGTAGGGGCCAGCTTTATTACCAGGATATTCATCTCAATATTGAACACTGGAAGGGATATTGTCTATTATGCAATGGCACTCTTAAATGTCACTGAACTAGAAAGTATTTTACTGAACACTTCCAGTGAAAAAGTTTTAATATCAATTTCATTTCAAAGGTTGACTTGAACATTTACATAGCTATCAGAAAGAAAAGGCATAGTGTGATTTTGGTAGACACATCAGTGTCTAAAAATGTATCTTTTGAAGAAAACACTAAGTGACTATCTAAATGTGAACACAAGGAGAAAGGTATCACCTTTTTTTCCTATATCCACATAACAAACAGGAGGAAGGAGACTTAGAAAAACATACACAATTATAAAATGAATTCAATGTTATGAATGTTCATTTCATTGTGCTCAGCTCCATGTATAACGAGTCTGACAGACAAAAAATTGTGAGAGCAGAAGCTATTTAAATACATAGCTTTTGCACAGGTTAGCTTTTGCAGCATCAGCTGTAACAGTTACTACAGCAGTAAAAGTTATATGGTAGTGCCACTGCAGTCCAATTTGCACCGAAAACTATTTCACAGTAACTCAGGCAGGCAACATGAACAACAAAGGCAAAATAAAAATAAAAATGGTCTTCCTCCATTAACACCTGAAATATGCCACATGCTACATAAAACTGAACAAAAGTTTAAAACAAAATGAATGGTAAGGACTGCCAGTGAAATTGTACAGTCTCACACAGACCTTAATGTTTCTATGAGGTGGGAATTACGGGGAAGGTGAAACTTGTAGTTGTTCACTATTTATAGCTTCATAAGATTGGAGTAGGAGAGAGATGCCCAAGAGACATGGCAAGCAAGAAATATCTTTAGTGGGATTAAAACAGCTTGAAGAGAAGGAAAAAGGAAAAGGATATGAAAAGGGGAAGGGATGGAGGAGAGAAGAGAATGCAAGGAAAGAATTTATTGCCTAATGTATCAGGTCTCCTGCTTGGGTCAGAACAAGCAAGCAAACGAATCCAAAAAAGTAAACACTCAGCTACATCTGATTTTTCAATGAGAGGAAGATTATAAAGCTGGCAGTGGAATGGAAAGAGTTGCTTCTGTTTCCAGATAAGGATATACAGGACAGAATTTGGGATCTAGAACTGGCTTTAAGTTAGCTCATTTTACAGTTGCTAGCCAGGTTAGGTGTATCAGGTGGATGGAGGCAGCACAGCTGGATTTGCATGGGAGGACTACACAAACAGAACTCAGACATGACAGAGAAGGGGATAAAAGATAGCTAAGCAAAGTTAATCAGGGAAAAACAGAAAAATAAAGGTTAAGCTTTTACTTCACATGTTTTAAAAGCATCTCAGGTCGATTAAAAAAACCCCAAACCTCAAAAAATCCCACACAACTCCCCCTACAGAACAACCCGAAACAAGAGGAATAGCATCCACTTACACCTAGTGGGGGAAGGCCTTCCACAATATTCTTCTTCCCAGACAAAAGATCGGACACAGGTCTCTTCTTTACTGAATCTTTCCTTACTCTGTATCTCCCTGATGTTGTAAGATCAGATTCTGACATAGATGGAGTAAGCAGTCCTTCCCCTCTTCTCTGTACCTGGCTTTCTACTAGTAAATGAACAGGACTCATATCTTTCATTCTCTTTTCTGTCTCTGTAATATGTAATTTAGGCTCAAGAATATGCAAAGGGCCAGCAGATGAAGCAACAGAGCTATAAGGGTAGTTCAGTAATGAATCATGAGAATAACCACCCATAACAGATGAAAGTTGGGTTTGATCTTCAGGGAGAGGAGAAAGACTTGTACTAGCCTTGTTTTCTTCTTCAAATTCTTCTTCCTCACTACTGTGAATCAGCATAGTGGCATCTGAAAGGGTTTTCTTATGATCACAGTTCACACTTTCTTCTTGCTCACTTTCTTTTTGCTTTGTTCTCTCCATCAGAATGTTGGGCTGTGACCCTTCTGAGATAACTCTTGGAAGAGCCACATCTGCCGCAGAAGCTGACATGGTCCTCTCTTTAATTCTTATTCCTTCAAAGCTGGGAGTCAAGCCTGCTATTTCAATACTGTTCCTTTTCTGCAGCTGAGCATGGCGTGCCGATGTTAGAGGTTCACTGACTTCCTGAAGAGAATGTGCCACAGGCAGGCTATCTTCCTGAAATGTCTGGACAGAATGGTGCACTCGTCTTGTGATAAGATCTGGATTGCTGCTGCTAATATAGATATGTCGTGAAAGGTCTGGAGTACTATTTGCAGGTCTTGGATACGGGTACGGGGGAGGTGGTCGATAAACTTGGGTCTTCATTATATTTGGTGCTGGATAGTCCTGAGCCTGGAGCTGCACATTTGTCAGCTCAGGCACGCTGACTGCCCCAACAACTGGGCGCTTTTCAACAGGATAGGGATAGGGGGATTGGCTATGAAAACTGTAGTTCAGGTTAAATGGATAATGATTAGATTGTGGGGAAGTGAAGTGAGCATGTTCTCGTATTTCAGGTTGACTGTAAACTAAGGCATCGGGCCTGCTGTAAGCGTATGAATTGCTGATGTTAAGATTTCTCATTGAATGACTCTGCCTATCTGTGTGCACCATTCCCCTGTTCAGCTGTCTCATCACAGTTTCATAGTCTGGTGTGGGACGATAAGAGGGTGGTATTAGTGCACTGTGTCTGTGTGATGGGACATAATCAGTTCTGAGGACATCGCTTCCAGTAATGCTTGGGTTAGAGGACATGGGGGACGGCTGCAAGTAATGTTGTGGATTATTCAAGGAGTTTGTGCTATGTGCACTATAGACACTACCATTGCGGATCCGACCACTGTAGTCATGAGGGGCTCTATCCAAGCTAGTCTGAGAGTGACAGTAGTATCCATTCTGATTGCTCACAAAGAGGTTATCTGAAAGTAAAGTTTAAGAACAATCTTTACGTCCAAGACACCAAGCACAGATACCCTCTATTAAGATGTAGGTAACCAATGTTTGAGATTTTGAAAATCTCAGTTATTCTTAGCTGTGTATTGAAATGGGAAGGAAAAAGAAACAAAAAAACCCAGCTTTTTTGTTGTTGTTGATACCTAGGGTATGTATACCAGAATAACCTATTATGTTCATTTAGATGATGCAAATTCCTATTGGAAAACACTCTCTCAGTTTAAGAATGGCTTTCTTCCGTTTAAGATAGGTTTGCTAAATTTCAGTCCAACTTAAACAAAATCCATATCAATCTTAAACCACATTAATTGAAAGAAGGAACATCTACACCAGGGTTTGCACTAATCTAATGAGATCAGTTTAAGCAAGAAATAAAAAAGCAAACAGAAAAGCACCAAAAACCTAAAAACACCCCAACAACCAAACACACACACCCCACTCCTCTTTCCCCCCCAGGCCATAAGTACATATAGTACCACAAGAGCCTTTTTTAAAAAAAAAAAAAAAAAAAAAAAAATCAAATTAACTTCTCTCCAGAAATTTTGGAAACAGTTTAAACCACCAGCATGTATTGTTTGCACATTAACATATACCCACTCTGATGGGTAAAGAAAATGATCTAACAGTTTATACATCCAATATGCACTTAATAATTTAACCATTACTTCATTGGATGTACAATTTGCCAAGCTCCAGAAGAGAACAATTCAGTCATTGCTTTAGATGTTTTTCATAATTTAACTCTTCAGGTTCACCAAAATAATTGCCACACTTATGCTAATGCATTTACTAACAATCAAAAATTCTTTTGTTTTTGAAAAAATTGTTCAAAAATAGGATGTGTGCAGTAGCAAGTATCCAGCAATAATTCTGACATTATAGTGGAAAGAATTCAGCTACATTCTGTATACCTGTACCTTCATGTGTAACTCTACTTAATCAGCATACATGCTTATTCCCTTACCAGTGAGCTGTTAAGAGCATTTCTTTTTACCCAGCTGACTTGTAGGACTGGAAGGTTTCTATCAAAACTGAGGCAACTTTGCAAAAGATTATAGTAAGCCCTTCAGGGCAGCAACTTTGTTAATTAATGACACAATGTGTAACAATCAAAAAAAAGGAGAGAAAACAGCCATGACTCCACTATAAACCGCTTAGACTAGGAGTGTGCATCCCTTGAGAATTCTAATTAGGACTTGCTTGGGGTTTTTTCTTTCCATTTTTTCAATCAAATGCATACCAATTCCATAACTTGCAGACTTTCTTAACCTTTGAATTCCCCACTAACCTTGTAGTCTAGTGAACTCTGAGAGAAACTTCTCTCTTCCTGCATCCTGGGTTTAAATATTGTTTTAATTATTTTTTAATTTATTTTTTAATTGTCTGAATTGTCTGAGAGCTGAGTTACTCTTTGCAACTACTAAGACCAATATTGACAAGGATCTTACAATGCCATAACATACCAGTTTGGTACATGAACAAAAAAACTGATGGTCAGTTAAGCTCACAAAAGCAACCACAGTCTATAGTTGCTGTATATGCTATCATAAGTAACTTTGCTCATATCCCATAGGAGAGGATATGGAGAGGAGCAGCTAAAGGAACTGGGGTTGTTTAGCCTGGAGAAAAAGAGGCTGAGAGGAGACCTGATCGCTCTCTACAACTGCCTGAAAGGAGGCTGTAGCAAAGGGAGTGTTGGTCTCTTCTGCCAAGTAACAAGTGATAGGATGAGAGGAAACGGCCTTAAGTTGTGCCAGCGGAGGTTTAGATTGGATATTAGGAAAACATTTTTCACCAAAAGGGTTGTCAAGCCTTGGAACAGGCTGCCCAGGGAAGTGGCTGAGCCCCCATCCCTGAAGGTATTTAAAAGATGGGTAGATGTGGTGCTTAGGGACGTGGTTTAGTGGTGGACTTGGCAGTGCTAGGTTAACAGCTGGACTTGATCTTAAAGGTCTTTTCCAACCTAAACAATTCTATGATTCTATTTCATATTAGCCTAAATGCGTAGAGTAGCAGCAAGCACTTCAATGAGTGTTGTAGTACAAACCTATCCCATGTTCACCCTATGATTTATCCAGCTCTAGCTAAAGTAGTTATAAATGCAAATCATAGCTTTTACCTTCTAGAGTTGTGTAGTGTGGCCTTGGATTTAATGAACCTACCTTGGGAGGATGCATATGGTTCAGTATAATGACCATTGTAATGCAGCTGAGGTGGTGGAGGCATCATATAAGGCTGAGGCTTGGGCTAAGAAAGCAAACATCTTATTGTTAGTTGAAAACTCATGATTTATTTTAAAAATAACTCTTGAAGATTTTTTTATATATAATGTATAATATTATATATATAATATATAATGTAAAATACATATACCCACACAAAGCCTTAGTCTTAAACCATTTCTCTAAATCTGCAATGTAAGTTTCTGCTGTGAGGTCATACAAGAAATATTTAAAAAAAAAAAAAAAAAAAGGGAAACAAACCCAAAACCACACACCATCAACCCAAGACCGTATCTTGCCATCTGACATCCAGGAGAGCCTCCCAGATGAGTCTCCTAGAGACAGGGCAATCAAACTAAAAATAGAAGTGTTTAAAATGTTTTTCATTTCAATTATTTTAATTCCATTATTCAGATATTACATAGCAGCTTTTTTGTACAAGTCAGAAACAGTTCCTCACATACTAGACTCATCTCTTTCACTGCTTATTTTATTTCACTGAAAGAAACTAATGTCTGATTCAGTCAACCGAAATTCACAAAAATGCAAATTAAGAACTATTTGGTCTCCTTACCATAGACATCCTGGATGAAGACCGCCTTCTAACAGGATTCACTGTAACAGGCTGGGTTTGTCTACAGAAGAAATCTTATGGTGAGAAATGATTCTTAACACCACCAAGACCTATTTCAAACCTCGGAAAGTGCTCCCAAGTTCAGTTAAAAGTCACTCTACATTTCTTGGAGCCAGACCCTGTGTTAAATAGTCCTCCCCAACAGTCTCAAAAGGAAAGAGCTCTGTGCATAAACCACCATCGCAGACATGAAATTGTTTACAGAATGTAACGTTACAGATGTTACAGGACCTGCAAAGCACTACTATACTGCATGAACATTTGTATGTTCTAACATTCAAGCTAATGGTAATAAATTTTCATAATTTGTTTGATTGCCCCCAGGATGGAGGTTCAGGAACCTTAAGCTCCTTGTTCCCCACCCTACACTGCACCTGTACTCAGCATTTTGCAGCAAGACAGAGGGTCAAAAGACAGCAGAATAATACAAATGCAGGAACTTCCAGATTTCAGAAAGAAAGATGATTGGTCAGCTCACCCTTTGGGAAGTGAAGGACGAGAAAGGATTGGAAAGCGTGGAAGGGAAAGAATGAGGGAAGATTTCTGAGACCCCTCCTCAGGTGGAGAGTCCAGGGAGTCTCTAAAGACAAGGTACATACAGATAAAGAAAAAAAATCCTCAACTTAATTCAGGCATGCATAAGACAGTTTTCAGCAGTAGGACCAGATGAGACAATCTTAGAAATAATCAGAAAAGTTTTTTTGAGGACTTTACCTATCAACAAAACCATGCCAATGTGAAAGCATTAAAATGAGTAAACCTAGAGACTGACTGACACTCAATACAGAACTACAGAACTGACATTATTCAGATAGCAATGCACAAGTCCCGCAAATGCACTACTTCTACGAGTATTTCTTATCGTTCTCAAAAGGCAGCCAGGTTTACAAGCTCAGAGGTACGAAGTCTACCCTATTCCAAATTAATCTCACTCTTCTAAAACAAATTACCATTAAACACACCAGTGCATCATCTGTGGTACAAAATATTTCATTACCTTTCCACTGGCCTCAGCAAATATTGGACCAACCCCTCCATAGCTATCTTCCCATGTACAAAGAGGAGGAATAGAACATTTGGGAAACATGCTTTTTTATGACAGACTATTCACTGCGTCTAATTCTCTATTCTTTGACTGAAGTAACTTAACTAAAGGAAAGCTGCAGCAGTAGAGGAGCTCAAATTCCAGCCCTTGATTTACAAGTTGGAGACCAGCCCATTTAAATTTAATTTGATGAATTGTATTAAATTTACTTTGCACTGGTGCTACTTGAGCTATACAGATTCCATGGATATCCAAAGGACCACATACCACTCATCTGTCAATCCAGCACATTTCAGGAGTGCTTCACATACACTTCCCGCCCTTTTAAAGGCCTCTAGAGTGTCCTTTCAGAGTGGTTCACCCCAACACAGGCCAAAATCCTAGTGATTCCAGTAGCTCACAAACATTCTAGCAATAGTAGCCCCCAAAGCAACTAAAGTCTGTCACAGCACTGAGATCCAGCAGCAGGGGCCAAACACTATTACTTTAGGTAAGATTTCAGTATTTAATATTGTCCTCTGTTATAAAGCAGAACACGTTTGAGAAAATGGTGATGAGTATTTTCTCAAAAAAGATTAAGAAAAAAAAAACCCAAATCATTAATTACTACCATCTAAAAAGGACAGTAAAAGACATTACAGAGCTTATAAAAGATTTCACTTCCCAATGGAAGCTTCAAGGGCATCAAGAGGCCTGCTAATATATTCTACTTACAGGCTGCATTTATTTAGTCTGTAAAATTTGTGTCTAGCCACACACATTCTCCACACATATTTTGCTGTTTCCATATCTTCCTGCCAAAAAACAAAAACAAAATGTGCATATTAGGCCATATACGCATACTCTTCACTTGCTTTCAGAGAAGACACTGAAATTTTTAAGATTAAATCAGCATTGACCAATTTTGTTTCAATATAACTTCATTACTGTCACCAGGTTTTCCCTAAAACTGTACTTTGTGGGCCTGAACATGCACTCTAGCCTGAGTTGAAAGTAGAAGCCTTTTGTTGAAGACATTCTTATCATCTATAATACTAACTCAATTTACAGCGTATATATACATATATCATGCCATAAGACTATCAACAGCTGCCTTCTTGACAAAGGCAACTGGTAGTTGCTACATAAAATTAATTCTGCAAGGAACACTGTGGCCCATTCCAGCAAAGCTCTAAGACCATGTTTATCTTTAAACGCCACTGATTTAAAAGCCATAAAAACATGCCAGTAATTTTACTGGAACAGATGAAAATGTTTGTGGCCACCTGAACCAAACTTGTCAATGTACTCAACACAAAAGGTCAGATTTTTAATGCCTTCCCATAGAAAGCTAGCCAGAGACAGTATTATTACTTTTGACTCACTCATACAGTTCAAAGTTGCTAAATATATAAAAAGTAGTTTTTATCCTTTAAATTAAACTAGCAGTCTTAATTTGTGTTTTTATTTACTGATGCCTTAGTGAAAATATAAAAGTAAAAATCTACTTACAGTTTGGAATTGGATTGTCTCTTCTTTGTTTGCCAGCTCTAATGCGAAAAAGGATTTGTTATGGGACATGTTGGCAATATCATGCCACCTGCAAAGAAAAGGGATAGGACATGACTGGCAAGCTCTGACTTTCAAACCACAGAAAATGCAACTGAAGAACAGAACTACTACCAGGAATATGGATAAATAAAGAGTTCATCAATTTATCTGAACAAGTTGCAGACCATCACTTCCACAGCCATTAAATGACTCCTGAAAGGAAAATATGTATGTGACTAACTCTTTTGAAGATGCGTAACATGTACAGTAATAAGTTAATTACCTGTCTTCCACTTCAAATTCTTTCAAGTGTTCTTTTTTTAAAAAAATAAATAAATTTAGACAATTTTAGTTATCAGTAAAATTATCATGTCCCGACTGCTTGAAAGCAAACTATACATTCTAGGGGGGAAAAAAATCTACACTAAACAAAGCCATTAAGGCATTATTATACATATTTTCTAGAACTCTCTTGCATGTTCACAGATGAGAAAAAGTTAGATAGCAAGAACTCTAATACCATATATTTATTCAACTTCTTGTTAAATATAAACATAGTTTGATCCATTAGTATTATGCTAGTGTAAATAAAACCTATATAATTCATTTATTAAAAGAATATTCTGCAGTGCACAGAGAAAAAACATGATCTACACACAGGAATCTCTCTACAGGTATTTACACAACTTCCATTTTCTATACGTAGATACGGCTGGGTCATGGTTTAGCCCCAGTCGGCAACCAAGAACCACAGAGCTGCTCACTCACCCTCTACCCTGGTGGGATGGGGGAGAGAATATTAAAAGCAAAAGTAAGAAAACTCATAGGTTGAGATAAGAACACTTTAATAATTGAAATAAAATAATAATGGCAGTCCAGGCACGGCAAGTTGTAAAAAATGTGCTCTACACTGCAGTCAGGGGGAATGGCCCTACATGGAGCCTCTGGCAGAAAGGACCAGGGGACACTCGAGACTGACCCTTAGGGTTTTGGGGTCAGGAATATAGAGGATCCCAGGCCCACTATACTCCAACTGAAAAAGAGGTAGTGGCAGCATATGAAGGGATTTGAGCTGCTTCAGAAGTGGTTGGTACTGAAGCACAGCTCCTGTTGGCATGCCAACTGCCAGTGCCAGGCTGAATGTTCAAAGGGAGGGTCCCTTTGAACACATCTTGCAACCAATGCTACATTGAGTAAGTGGGTTGCACTGATCACACAATGGGCATGTATAGGAAATCCCAGTAGCCCAGGAATCTTGGAAGTGATCATGGACTGGCCAGAAGGCAAAGATTTTGGAATATTGCCAGAGGAGAAGGTGACACATGCTGAGGAGGCCCCGCTGTATAATAAACTACCAGAAAATAAGAAACAATATGTCCTATTCACTGGTGGGTCTTGCCGTCTTGTAGGAAAGTATCAGAGGAGGAAGGCTGCTGCATGGAGTCCTATAAGACAAGTTGTAGAAACTGCTGAAGGAGAATTGAGCCAATTTGCAGAGGTGGAAGCCATCCAGCTGGCTTTAGGTATTGCTGAAAGAGAAAAATGGCCTGTACTTTATCTCTATATTGACTCAGGGATGGTGGCAAATGCCCTGTGGGGGTGGTTGCAGCAATGGAAGCAGAGCAACTGGCAGCGCAAAGGCAACCCCGTCTGGGCTGCCACACTGTGGCAAGATATTGATGCCCAGCTAGAGAACCTGGCTGTAAAAGTACATCACGTACCCAAGAATCAGACCACTGAAGAACATCAAAACAACCAGCAGGTGGATCAGGCTGCTAAGATTGAAGTGCCTCAGGTGGATCTGGACTGGCAACACAAGGGTGAATTATTTATAGCTCCATGGGCCCACAATACCTCAGGCCATCAAGGAAAAGATGCAACAAACATATGAGCTCATGACCAATGGGCGGACTTGACCATGGACGCTATTGCACAGGTTGTCCATGAATGTGAAACATGCGCTGCAATCAAACAAGCCAAGCAGTTAAAGCCTCGCTGGTATGGAGGACAGTGGCTGGAATATAAATATGGGGAGGCCTTGAAGATTGATTATATCACACTCCCACAAACCCGCTATGTGCTCACCGTGGTGGAAGCCACCACCAGATGGCTAGAAACACATCCCATGCCCCATGCCACCGCCCAGAACAGTATCATGGGTCTTGAAAAGCAAGTCCTGTGGTGACATGGCACCCCCGAAAGAATTGAGCCGGACAACAGGACTCATTTCCAAAACAGCCTCATAGACACCTGGGCCAAAGAGCATAGCACTGAGTGGGTAAGTCAACTC